GCAAGATAACATGTCGCTTGCTTAATAATAGTAAAAATAATAATGATAACAAGTTTCATTCACTAGAGTATGCCCATAAAGTAATTGGTAACCGCCTTCATCCATGAATTGGGTTGATATATTCTGTTGTTTATACTGACGCTTCAAGTTACTAAAACAACATACATAGAAAATATATGTAATATATATAAAAATTATTCACTTACGCGCGCGCGTTGTCTGCATGGTCGTTTGCCTTTTTCCCCTTCTGTTGTACTATTATCTTCAAGAAATAATAATCATTCAGCGATAATCCCCATCTTATGATCGATTTGTCCATTTGTCCTCTATAAGGATCATGATCCTCCTCATAAAAACGGGGTCAAATACCCACTATACACTACTGAGATTGTTGTTGTTTACAATAAGTGTGTCTACGCCAAAACGTTTTCTCACCAATAATTTTGGGAATTTACGGACACCTCGTTTTTCCCCCGTTTTTGTTTTCTGGGCTAAATATCACATGATTTTGCATAAGGTTTTAATAGGGTAACTATACCAGTAAGCAACATTTGAAGTTCATCAATGCTGATGTTTGGCAAGACCAATTGATGATATCTGGAGACAAGGTAAATGCGCGCAACTTTAGGGCATAATAGTAGCAATTTTGGATCGTAACTATGTCCTCATAATTATTCAGTCACTTATATGCTTTGGAAAATGTTATTTAAGTAAAGATATGTAAGTAGAATCCTCAAAATACACTTTTCTTTTCTTTTTGTTTTTATTTTTTAAAATATACCCCCATATGGAAATAAATATATTACACGCAGGTATTAACAAATTATGCAAATTAGGCACCCTTCCAAAAAGAATTACATGTGTCTCCCCTTTTAAATTTCTTCTCTATGGCTATAAGAATCTATCTGCCAAGTTAGGTGCTTTGGACCAGTCGGTCACGATCTTGTCAAAAATTAGATCTTAGCCACCTGACTATATCAATCATCATGGCAAGACCTCAGTTTAATGTTCATGGCATATGATTCCAATCCAAAACCACATCAACTTTTCTTTTCACAACATGCAGGATTTTACACAGCTTACATAACACAGCCCTGAAATTGATTAAGGTAAGAAATTTGGTCACAGTGTCCATAAATATTATTGTGATCAATTGACAATTGTGTGGTGAGGCGTGTGGGAAATTAAATGATACTCAAAGGGATTTAGGCCAAGGATAAGAAGTATCTGCACAATTAAAATGTTACTTCATGGTTTTCCAGTTATTTCAAAAATAGTCAGACGGACACTTTTTGGGGACATACTGTAGTATTCAATTTGAGGGTGTTTTCGATATATTATAAATTGTAATGCTGTAGTTTCTTTCACAAAAGCTGGTAATTTCTCTGGACTGCAAGATAAGCCCATTCAAGAAACAAAGTAAATGCAGAAAATAGGATATTTCGCACACGTAGTAACAAACACGTTTACGTTACATACCTAGTGCGGACTTTCCTTTGTTTTCGTGTAGTTAAAAGAAAACCTCTGAATAAAAAAATAATTTTACTCACACTGTGAATTAAATGAAAACACTTTTCAACCCAATTTTGTTTTCATGATTCCCTAATCCAAAAATGCCTCTAAACCTGTTAACCAGAGAAGCGGAAACATTGTGTGGACGTGTGCAAGTCCACATAACGTCGCTGCTACCTGGTGTGGACTTCTTTTGTTCGGAAGTCCACACAGTGAATACAATGCTTGTACTCAAATACGATTTGCCCGGAAAAACTCTATCTCCGTAAATTCTCGCCGCTTGTTAACGGTCACATTGCACGCTGTGCTTATTCATGGCTTTTGATCTGGCCTCCATATCCTGAATAGTACACCAACCGTTAAAAGCGATGGCTGGAACTGAGCATGAGAGAGATGTAAAAACTGATTACATTCATTGCATGCCATGGATATTGTTGTAAAAAAACTCTCTTAAACCCCGGAAGGTTTCAGCAAAATATCCAGCAATGTAATAATGGTTACTGTGGTGGGTGGGTCAAGAATTGTTTATCATCCGGCTCTGAGATAACATTACTGGGATGTTACAGGCTTGAAGTCAAAGTATACGATGGAAGGAGTTGAAATGTCACCATTCGCGATGTATCCTGCATTGTGTACATAATCTTTCGACACCCATGCGAAGAATCCCCGTGTGTCCAAACATGACCAATCAAAATGACATATCGTACCCTGACAGCAGGATGTTTAATCTTGTTAATTAAACATGAATGCTTTATCTAGCAGGGAATTTCCAACTTCTACTGTGCGCAAGCGATGTCTTTTGTGACACCCCCCCCAAAAAAAAATACCATTGAACCATAACGAGTCGTTCTGTATATATTATTTGTATTCAAGAACATTAATCAGAGAGGAATGTAACAAATTGGATACAATGAAATGCTCATCCGTTTTTCCTCGAAGTACATTAAATAGAAAAATATTTTAATAATTAGCGATTAGCCTTTTAGCCGGAAAGTTCATTACCCTACGTCACTCTCAGCGGAAGTCTGTGCATGTGTTCAACAATACAGTGTTTGCACGTCCTTCTACGAGTATGTTAATTCGTCGCACGAATTCATTTGTTTTCTTCCAGGAAGGAAGCATTGTTGGGAAGCAGGTGTAATTTCGTGTCTAATCTCTGTGTAATAAGGCTGAGGAAATATTGACACAAGGACCGGATAAAAAAAAATCGGCTGCTAAAAAAAGAGCGAGAGCTGGATAGGGAAAGAATATCCTGCACAATTTGCGCAAGGCAAACACCGGTGAGCGCGGCTCGCTTGTTCACTATTGCGGGATGAAGAGTTGGCCCGCCCTTACGCCGTTGTTTGCTTCGGTCTGTTAGGCCTATAGTTAGTGTTTTTCCCTTCTCCTCGGCCGAGCGTAGTTGCACTTTGATGGATGGAAATGGAAGGTTGCCTTTCCGACGCAATCTTTACTTTGAAACGCTCAATTGAAACTGCTGTAAAAGCCCGAGCCAGTAAGGGGAAGGAAAAATAGAGGAAGACAGGGACAACTAAACTCTCTCCAGCCGGGCTCAGATTACCAAAGTCGGTCTGTGATGCTCTCCTATACTCGACGCCACTGCCTGAAGCGCCGTGTAAACAGCACTTAGGACTGTGAGTGATAATGCTCTTGAGTTGCTCTGCACAGGACAATTGCCTTATTACACTATCATCATCCCCAAAAGAAATACTTTGCAAACTCGAGGCAGAAAAGTAAGAAGCTTTCTAAGACAGAGTCCGTATATCAAATTGAAGAGCATTACTTGGTGAGCGTGCAAAACGTTGAAACAAAAAGAGCTACGAACGGAAATTTAGTTCTCTGATAATCAAAGGGTAGCAAAGAAATTGTCTGGGGCGGGAGTTTAACCTGCAACTCTCGTATCTCAGCACAGGTGCGCATACAAAAGTCCCCATGTAGATCAAAGTTCACTTAAAGTCCAATTGCCCTTTTGTCAGGCCCAAGCCATGATTGCCGATGATAGGAACCCGATAGCAATGACCTCATGTTCTCCGAGTATTTCTGTGCTTATACAAAATAATATGATTTATGGAGCTCCCACTATTTACTAGACATGTTCCCTTTTAAAAAATTAAACATCGTCCATGTAATGTAAATTCGTTTTCTACAGGATAAATATTTTCTTTTCTTCAGATTTTCTAGCTCTTTTTTGTGTTTGTATAAAGGCCTTTATTGCGTAGGGAAAAGAATAAGAGACTTCCCTGCGAAACAAATTTGAGTGGTGAGTCCAACGGAAAGTGTTGTCAATTCAATTGTGACTTTGATAGTGTATATTTCACCTGTTGTTCAATGCCGATACAATGGTATTTATGCGAAACCGTAGTTTGCCAATGCGAACCACTCGGAACGTATAAACACTGCCTTATGGGGTACCGGAACAATGGGAGGTACCCCACAAGGAATGCCCACCAAGTTTTTCACGAAATAGATATATGGATTTTACTCAAAAACTAGCAATTTCCAAGGTGGGTTGATCCGTCGCAAATGGAAAAGTTTTAGAAAAGGGATATTAAGTCCGAATTTCAGCCCAGGAAATCTGGTTTAATTCTGGTTAAAATGAGAGCATTTTGACATTAGTGTGCGACATTGCAAAATGTTAGTACACGAGAACAAAGGAAATACCCACTTCTATGCCTGTGTAATCGTGCGTGCACGTATGGGGTGCATACCTATGTTCCCCAATACCTATGTTTCCCATAACCATCTTACCCTAAACCTAACCCTAACCCTAACCCTAAGGATTTGGTGGAACATAGGTATTAGGGAACATAGGTATTGGGGAACATCGGGTAAACCATATACTATGTATGCTACCATGCAGATAGTTTTGTGACTGGTATTAATTCTTCACTTTCACCTATTTCCCGTTTTCCTTTCCCTGATCTCGTGAGAAATTGTGAGACAAGAGAACGTCTTTTACCCTGGCCAATCACGATTGCAGGTCCACTCGTACATCAGGTTGAAAGTCAGGCCAGAACCTTTCTCTCACGGAATCTTCTCCTTCCCCGAACTTTATCATCAACATGAAGATTAATGACACAAACTGATGACTTTCAACATAATGAAGTGACAAACAGGATAGCATCGGTAGCCCCTGACAAATTACAGCCACCAACAAAAAACACAGTCGCCGTCGCCACAATTTATTAAGGCGGGAGGCCTCCCACAAGATGAGTGATACCATCCCCCTAAGAAAGTCAGAGGATGTCACAAGACCATTATCTGATAGGCAAATTGGTTTACGCTTATGACACGTTGCTTGTTCCCATGGGTATCAACCTCACGGTTGTAAAGTGCAATTTCATTGCGTCACCAAAGCACGATGTTTGCTCAATTTCTCTTATAATGTTATGGTTGCCGCACAGTGACGATAGTGTAGTTTAATTACCACTGATGTTGATACATTGTCTGGAATAGACGGTCAGTACATAACACCTGAGGAACAAGGTACAAAGCCGTTCATGTTTCGAGAGAGGATGACGCCAATTTTCAGAATGTCTTCTCAAGCCAAGAACTTCCGGGATGCGGTTTACTGCCCACGTTCACCACGCCTGGCTTAACCATCAACAAACTTCCTTGAATTTATTTCAAACAATATATTTACCACTCATCCCTACCTAAAACTCCTTTATAATATAAACACTGACATAGCACGCCTCCGTTGCCTCGCTAGGCTCGCTACAGCGCCGCGTCAGCAACCGTTCACCTATAATTTTTTTTGACATCCTTTTACGATAAATTAGTGATCCATCTCCTAAGCTTGGGCCATCAAGGCAGATCGGCGGCAGATTCATTTATCTCCTTGACTCTCTTGTCTTGCAGAGGCCCCACTCTCTAAAGTTGTCGGATATCGCAATGATGTGGTGTAAGGTTGTCGTCACGTTGGTCTTACTGTCCGTCTACATGTGTTCCCTCATCACCGACGCAACGGCGGACCCGTACTGGCAGAGCCCTGGCTGTCATCTTGTAGGTGGGTTCTTCTTTTTGTTTTGCTTTGTTCCATTCTACTTATATTGTTATTCCCTTAATCGTTAGTGAAACCAACGGTTCTTCAAAAAACTGCATAGGCACCGCATGCAGTTCAAAAGCCCGAGGGTAATGAAGAGATGTTCGGGTATATAGAGAAAGATGGTTTCCACTCTTTTGGTACCACTCAAACGGAAATATCCACGGTCTGCTCACTACATAACCGAGTGGTTCGAGGGGGTGTTTGAACTTTCATGTGTCTCACACTTGCAGCCAATCGTTATTTTACGTTAGAATGTACTGCTCAAATCAAGCCATCTAAACTTCTTTCCAATAAAGTGAAATGGGACTTTAATATTGAGGTTGTGCATCCACGTGACATTATCACGTGAACAGTGTAAGATCCGCCATCATTGGGCATCCAGCGTGCTCGATCGATTTGCAGTATGCGTAACGCGCATGCTTTGCGGTATTTGTCACGGTCAATATCCGATTTTTCTCTCAAAAGTCATACGTTAACCCCCCAAAATTGAACAGAAATTTAAAAGATGATGACATGAGTCTGAATTTGATATGTGTCCCAAACACATTGGAGAGTTGTGAGTATTTTTGCTGAACTTTGGAAGTGGGCGTATTTATCACTGGGGTCTGTGGCAGTTTATTTACTAGTCTTCAACCGTAGACGTCCAATATGGCGGGCGTGTGTATGACCACTGACCTGTGACGTCACGTGAGCGTCTTCAATTCAGAAGTCATTATGCTAATTCAGCGAAAGATTGTGCTAAATTCAATTAAAATGTAGCATGAATCTGTTTGTTGAGAGTCCTCACAGCCATTACATTCGACAAGATCTACTTAAGCTAGCCAAGAGCTTCCAACTAAACCGAAGAGTTGACAATGTTTTCTTCGCAGGTTAAAAAAATAGCAGCAGTACAATATTAAAAATCGATAATCCTAAAGTTAAACTGTCTATGGGATACGATTCTATTTTTTTTTTTAAATCTTACATGAGAACCTAAAAAGTGTAAACAAAAACCATATGGGAATCTAGAACAAAGCACTGCAATAAAAAGAATTAAGGCTTCTTTCAACTGCTCTCAGCTTTCTTTTGCCCCTTCAAACTTTGTGTTGCCCTCCCCCTTTTATCAAAGAAGTGAGTGTCTTTTCCAAACCTTTCGGCGGAGCGCCAACAAAATTAATTTGACTGTTTTTCCAATCCATAAGGGTAAAAAGTCAAAATCTAACATAAAACATAATCTAATGTAACAAGAATAGACACGCCCAGAACAGCTGATCCCGGTCGGCGATTTGTTCGAAGGGGTACAGGTAGTTTTTTCGAGACATTTTTGCCAAGGTAAGGCTTAAGCAAGTTTAAATCACAAGTCACAGTCAGTCAGTCAGTGAGATTACAGAGGATGTGTAGCTGGCCCTCTGTGACCAGAAAAAAACTACCTGTTCATTTTTCAGTTCAAGAGATACTTTTGAAGAGTATACTGAATCCAAAATCGATTTTGTCATTATCACGTAACAGATTTTACTAAGTATTGGGCTTTACCCTTATATGTTAAATTTGGGCCAAAATTAAAATACGGGGGCGACGTCACACGATTTAGGCACGCGATGTGGTGACCTGGTTACGAAACGTTACAGCGGGTTGTGTCGATTAGCCTTGACACCGGTACACTGTTCCCACCGACTGGGCACTAATTTTCGACACAAATTAGCTGTCCTCTGCAAGACAGTCGGCTCGAGACACAAAGTGCTATGTGTTCCGGTCCTGTTTTAATCCATTGCAAGACGTTTTCCTCGACAATTCGGCAGCTGGTCCTTTTTCAGATAACTACAAATGACGAGGCATGAGTGGAAAAGAACCGTAGCGAGTTCGACCTTTTTGAACTAAACCGGCCTTTTCTTTCGGTTAACGCGGTCACTCCATCTTGATGTCCGACTCTTTTACCCACCTTGTGTGGTTCTCATGGATGTCACTTCGCGAATCTAGTTAATGATCCAAGATCCTAGTCACAGAAGTCCTACTACCTGCCTGAGATTCACTCCGTTTTGTCGTTTTTATCATTATACGCGGTTGCGGTCTCCAAGGAAAATATATTTGATCTGCGGGTTCTAAAACACCGTACACCGTGATCCATGCAGTGCCGAATCACTTGGGGGCCTGGCGAAAGTGATCGACGGTATTGATTGTGTTACCGATTTCGCGATCCGTACCATACAGAGAAAGGTTAATAAATACATATCAATCAAGAGCATCTACATCGCTGTATTGTTTCTTTTTGTATATTTCAAGCAAAACTGTGTTTGATACATTTTTATCTTCCTGGGTGAACACTATCTACAGGTACATGGGACAGCAATGGGTTCTTGCATGGCCCCCTCATTTGCATGCCTCTTCATGGGTGACCTCGAAGAACGCATGGTTGGCTCAGCACCTTGCCGTCCCTGGATCTGGTGGAGATAAATTGATGTTGTAGTCTTCATTTGGACCAGTGATGAGGATTATCTGGTGACTTCCACTAACCACATTAATTCCCACAGGACCATCAAGTTCACATCAGAGTACTCATTTCAACAGACCCATTTTCTGGACGTTAACATCCTAAAGCAAGACAACTCATAACCACTGATCTCTATTCGAAACCCACAGACACCCACCAGTACCTCCACTCCTCCAGTTGTCTCCCTAGGCATTGTAAGACTGGTATAGCGTTCAGCCAGGCACTTAGACTCCGAAGGATTTGCTTTGATGATTCTGATTTCTCCCATCATGCACAGTGTATTGAACAATAACTTGGTTACCAGGGGTCACAGCTCCCGCCAAGTTCAACGTGCTATTGCCAGAGCCAAAGCTATTCCCAGACATTTGGCTCTCCAACAAAAGGTCCCCAGTGCAAAACCAAGATTTCCTTGGTCACAACCTTTCACCCCAGTCTCCCTCCGCTTCGTAAAATCACTAGTGACAACCATCACATTCTCCACACTTCAGATCGCCTTGCCCGCGCCATACCCGACAACCCGGTATTGGACTATAGGCGCCCGCGCAAATATACGACGAGCCGAATTCCCCTACTTAGATGTTTCTGTTTCTGTTTCTGTTTCTGTTTCTGTTCCATAAACGTACAAACACCTAGAAGGTTGTCGACGTACGTTGGTCAGGGTCAGGTGTGCAGCAACTAAATTCTTGATTGGGTTTTGGAAGCCAGGTCTTGAATGTTGATGTTGTCCAGTGCCAGTTTGAAAGTCTTAATGTCAGGTGAAGAGCGGATGTTAGGGTGAAGTTGATTCCATTCTAGGATGGTCTTTGGGTACATTGAGTAACGAAAGCAGTCCTTATTTGTGGTGATGACTCTATATGAGAAAGGTCCGGTCTGTCTAGTAGAAACCCCCCTTGATGAGTTGACGATGTTCAGATAATCTTCCATATTACTCGGTGTAAGCCCATGGGTTTCTTTGTAGAGTGTGACTAATCGAACTTTGGTCCTTCGATCTTGAAGAGTGTCCCATTTGAGTTTATTCATCATTGCTGAGATGCTTGACTCCCTGCTGTAGTCTTGCATAACAAATCTAGCTGCTCTGTGTTGAATGCTTTCTAATTTCTTTTTATCCGACGCATGATGAGGATCCCAAATGGCGGAACAATATTCTAGCCTTGGTCTGACTAGTGTCTGATACGCAATGGACTTGGTATTACTGTTGCAGTGGTGGATGTTTCTCTTGAGTAGCCCGAGCATACGATTGGCTTTAGAGATGATCTGATCAATGTGAGTGGACCACTTGAGATCATTACTGAGTTCAACCCCCAGGTAGGGATGGTGTTTAACCTCTAGTAGTTTGGCATTACCCATGTGATAACTGGAGTCGACTGAGTTCTTCTTGTGGGTGATCTTCATGGTGTGACACTTGGAGGCATTGAATGACATGTGCCAATCTTTTCCCCATTTTTCAAGTGTGTTGATGTCCTGTTGAAGAATGCAAGGGTCTGCTGCAGTTTTTATTTCCCGGTACATGACACAGTCATCTGCAAAGAGTCTCACATGCGATTTGATGTTCTGTGGCAGATCGTTAATGTATACTAAAAACAGGAGAGGACCCAGCACTGTCCCCTGTGGAACCCCAGAAATGACCTTCGACTTGTTTGAAGAAGTGCCCTCCAAAACAACTTGCTGGTGACGTTGAGTGAGAAATGAGTCAATCCATTTCAGAGCATTGTTCCTGATGCCGATGTTGTGGAGTTTCCTCAAAAGACGTTGGTGAGGCACCGAGTCAAATGCTTTCTTTAAGTCCATTACAATTAAGTCAGCTTGACTCTTATTGTTAAGAATTCCAGCCAAGTCGTGGGTCACAGCAGCTAACTGGGTGTCACAAGAGCGACCTCTGCGAAAACCATGTTGGGCATCCGTCAGTACTTGATGTTTGTCGAGATGAATCATTATGTGATGATATAAAATATGCTCTAGTATCTTACATGGAATAGACGTCAACGACACAGGTCTGTAATTACCAGGATTTTTCCTATCACCTTTCTTGTAAAGTGGCGTGACGTTTGCTTCAAGCCAAGCTTTAGGTAAACATCCAGTATCCAGTGATTTTTGGAAGATCTTGGAATAAACTGGTGCAAAAGCTGAGGCGCACTCTTTCAAGATTCTAGGAGGTATGGCATCAGGTCCTGGTGCTTTGCTTGGTTTCAGATCTTTCAGTAATTTCTCTACCCCAATTGGATGTGTTTGAATTTCTGGCATGTCGGGTATGTCCAAGTCTGGTAATGTAGGGAAACTGTCCAGGTTTTCGTTTGTGAAAACTGAACTAAACTGTTCATTCAGCACATTAGCCTTGTCAATCGGAGAGATCACAGTGGCACCAGATGAATCAGTCAATGTGGAGATTCCAAACATCTGCTGTCTTTGGGCTTTGATGAAATTCCAGAATGGTTTTGTGTTGTTGCTTTGGAGACTACAGCCGATGACATCATGGATGTATTCTTTCTTGGCTTTCCGAATTTTGCGGTCAGTCGTTCTACGGTGTTTTTTGAAGGCGTCCCATGCAGAGGGTGTATCACGCTGTCTAGCTTTCCTGTACAGGCGCTTCTTCTTACATATGTCCCTTTTGATAGAACAGTTTATCCAAGGCAGTTTCCACTTGGTTGATGTCATTTTGGATGGAATAAATTTGCTGATGGAATCTTGAATGACATGGTCAAGTTCATTCACAAGTTGATTAACATCCTTCTGAGCAACGTAGTCGGGTGTCATTTTGTTGTCGAAATCCTTAATACAGTCGGCAAAAGCAGCATAATTGGCCTTGGCATACAGCAGTATTTTCCTTCTTGCTGGGCGAACTAATTTTGGTTTAACTAGTATGTTAACCACAACCGCTTCATGGTCGCTTACACCTGGGATGACATTGGTACTCTCCACAAAGGAAGGGCAGTTAGTGAAGCACAAGTCCAGTATGTTATGAAGTCTGGTAGGTTGCTTTACTTGTTGACTCAAGTTGTTGTCAAGGGCAATTTCAATCATGGTCTTACTCTGTCCAGCGTAAGACCCTCCAGGGTTGAATTTATGCTGATCCCAGTTCACATCAGGGAGATTAAAATCCCCAAGTAACCAAATTGATGCATTACGAGGGATTTTACTGAGGGCAGAATCCAGATTTTTTATGTACTCCACATCCGATGTAGGGGGACGATAGAAAGCACCTACATACAGTGGCGAGACACCATGAACACGTATGCTAGCCCATATTCCTTCACAGTCAGTTTGGAGATCAATCTCTTCATTAGCAATCAGTGTATTTTTGATAGCAAGGAAGACGCCACCGTGAGAATCCCCTGTCTGCCTATCCTTTCTGAATATCTGGTAAGACGTTGGGAAAATTTCTCCATTAGTAATGGTGCTGTTTAACCATGATTCGGTACCGGTCACTATATCTGGATCTTCAGTTTCAAGAAGTACATGGAACCTGTCAAGTTTTGATCTCACACTTTGGCAATTTACATTGAGAATCTTGAAGGATTTTGTCTTGGGTTTACATGTCTTCTTCTGTCTGACATTAGCTGAACGAGGGTTGGGGCTAGATCTATGGGTGGGATTGCCCACACCACGACCGTAGTTCACTGTATCAGGAATCTCCATACTCAAGTCACCACCATTACTACCCGCTAAGGCCTCAAACGAGTTTGACAGATCAAATTGTTCGGTACAGTCAAAAAGGGATGAGGCAAAGTTTGGCAAACCACAAGTGGAACACACCCATGCGTAGGACTCATGGTTGTTTAAAACTTCATACGTAGCACTGTTCATGGACAAACAATCAAAGTGAAACCATATGCTACATTCTTCGCATTCTATTGCCCGTTGTTTCCACTTGACAGCTTTGTTGCAAATCCCACATGGATACTTAGGTTGATAGGGGCCGGGATTTGTGTTGACGTCCCCAGACAAGAGTAGCAAAAGGAGGCTCATGTGTGCAGTTAAATTAAAGTTTTTGACGGCAAAGTTGTACTTGTAGCAATTTGATGATAACCTTGCAACATGGAACAAACTCACCGGCATGTCCTTGGTGACCCCAGGGTGATACGGGTGGAAGGTAGATGACCAGTGGGATCGATCAAATGAGTTGATGATGGCTGTGTCATTGAACTCCATAGGCGAAAACAGCTTCAGAATCACACACAAACATGTTCCAAAAATAACGAAGAATGGCACTTTGAAGTTACCCATGGTAAAAATATCATCGAAGAAAAGTTAAAAAGTTAAAAAGTGCAAAGTGCACATAAGTAAAAAGGGGTCCACTCCACTTGCTACGAGTACGAGTCCGATGACGAAACAGGGTGCATGCACATATGTAACATCAAAAAGACTCCAGGTGGTCACATCAAAAACAGCGAAAATATCATCGAAGAAAAGTTAAAAGTGCAAAAATGCACGGCTCAGTCGAAACTTGGAGCAGTTAAGAATACATTCATGAACAAGAGAAATTAAGATGGCAAACAAAAAATAGCTAAAAACGCAGATTTAAAAAAGATAGCACAGAGCTATCTGAAAACGTTGCTGACACACCGATGACCCCTGACCCCAATGTGATGACCCCTGACCCCAATGTGCACCCCCTCCCATCCAGCATGGAACTTTTAAGAACAGTTCCAGATGTGCTGTTTGCCAGATCCACATCCAGGAGTCTGACTCCTTTTCTGGCCACTCTTCCGGCACTACTCACAGAACCATTGGTAACATCACTTGCAACACATGTAATGTCATATGTCATCTCTTGCAGGGTTCGTGGAGTGCAGTGTGTCAGTGAGACCAAGAACACGCTCAAGAAACGTTTCTATGGTCATCAATCGACTGTTAACACCAAGAGACTGGACACCCCTGTTGGCTACCACTTCAGCCTCCCTAACCATTCCATTTCTGCTTTGATTTTGCAGGGTATAGAATCACTTGGCCATCACAAGGAATTATTTTGCCTCAACAGGGAGAATGTGTGGATGAATCGTCATCGGACGACTCAACCATATGGGCTCAACATCATTTCAACATGTGTCCCCATTTTATCCGTCCTTTCTCCTCCTTCCACTCCTGACCAGTCCCTGTATGTAATCTTCACCCTCACGGCCTATCCCATAATTTAGCCCGCGTGGCCTGTCCTCTATTTAATCCGTTCCTTGTTTGTCCTTCCATTGCTTTCCCTGTTATTTCACCAACATTGTGGTGTGCCCCACACCCCCTCTCCCCAACGAACCCCCTTTGGTCTGTTCCCTATATACCGTAATCCGTCCGTTGTTCGTTCTTCTACTCCTTTCCCTTTGATCCACACCCACCTGTTCCCATATTTAATACCTTTTTGTGTTCCTCCTTCCAACCCTGCATGCTTGTGAGTCCCCACATATTTGTTTCTTGTACATCTGTAATTTTGCCTCCGAAGCAGATTTTGTTTCGATCGAAACGTCAGGCCGCTTTTTTTGTTTGGATTTATGTTAAATTACTCTAAGGTTGGAGTCAACAACAAACGAACTTGAACATATTTCAAGCAAAGCAGTGTTTGATATCGTAGAGATCTCTTCGGAGTGAAGCAAAACCTTGAATTGATGAAGTCGCATTTGCTTGCGTGTGTGTGTGACAGTTACAATTCCATCAATTGTGTTAAACTACTCTAAGGTTGGAGTCAACAACAAACGAAACTGGACGGCCAACGAACCGATCTCCAAAACCAAGCTCTAGTGTTTCGTCTTTTAGAGTGCCTGATTGAATGATTTTTACTGCAAACAGCACTTGGCAGTTGCATGGGCAACTCAACGTCAAGTATACTACATCCCGAGTTAGAAAGCATTCCCACCAATTCAGGACGTTTATCACATCAGTATTATAATTGATTTCCCTGGATTCGAAGTTGCTTGATCTTTTGCTACCTGACGGGTGAGGCTGTGGAAATAATACATTCGGAATGCCTCTTGAGTTATATTTTTGTGTATTAAATTTATTTCCACTGCAATATTGCAATATTAAACTACACGATACCTTTCCTATTAGAGCGAATACATATGCAAATTGTTGGTACCGCCTTTCTGTTACCTTCTGAAATAAATTTACATATTTTGAATTTCTTTTTCACGAGGATCCATACATGACAGTTGTCGCTTTCGTTATAAATTCAGACGGATTAAATGAAAGATGGCTGAATGCAGAGGCGAGATGAAAAAGGGCCTATAGGCATTCCAGTCTTTTCCCTAGATATCTTTTCCAAATGCCAGAGTTGATACCCGTCAAATTTAATTTGAACTGGTCTATCCTTCCTCCGCTCAAGAATCGGATAACTCGAACTTCATCAATGTTAAAGAAGACAAATTCAAATCATCCTTGGAACCGAGGGTATTGCTGCTCTTCTTTCTAGAGAGGATTAAAAAAAAGTTATTAATGCCCCACAACAGTTACTTTATTCGAAATGTGTGTTTATTTTCAATTGACATAATTCCTCATCCCCCACCAGCACCACCAAGTTGTGCATTTCGGGGAGATTTTGTGCCGATATTTTCTGAAATTTATTTTAAATTTCCCGATGTTGTCAAAGGGAGTCCAGAAATCAACTCTTTCAAAATTGGCAGTCTCCCAAAAATCCTCACGTCTCCAAACCCAGCCACGCCATGTTCAGTCAAGTCTTTCACTTGTCTCATCCTGGATTCCTTGTCATTCTTCATGCAGGTTATAGAGAGATTGCATCGGCGTCTGGCTGTCATATGGTGGCGTTTCAGATGAACGCCTGCCGTGGCTACTGTTTGAGCTACTCCAGCCTGTCGCCCTATGGGGCTCCGGGAGATAAACTCTACGAGACGCGTGGCTCATGCTGCTCAATTCGATCCACTCATGACGTAAGTAGGCATAGTATACCAGGGGCTTAGGGTGATTGGGCTGTTTCAATAAGAAGTAATCGACAATGCCGTGACTGGGGTCCAATTTTTCAGGGGAGAGGTGCATTGTTCCTCATTTTCTGGAGAGCCAGGGACACAAGAGAGCACTATAGGGGGCTCTTAAGGGGGGCCCGTCCTCCCTTTCTTTACGCCCTCATTTATGCCACTTTGTCATGAACAATACCTCTCGCGTAAAATTAAGCTGGTAATGATTGGCCTTCTTATTTCAATTAACTGACAATGAAAGTTCAAAGCGTCTAGTCATACGTATCACAGAGTAACAAAGATCTGTCCACCAATATGTCGCTCTGTGCAAACTCTCTATGAGGAAAGAGAAAATATGCTGACTTGATCTAAAACGCAAGATTATACATCTGCCTGCTGAAGTTCTCCAGCTGTGCCCAATAGACAGTGGGTTCGAATCCGCTCGGGGGAATCATATTACATTATTTATTCTTGGACAAGACATGGCTGTTTGAAACCTTGGTAACATAAAGCAAAATTGGCTTAGAAGTTGATTGAGTTCATTTGACAAGACTTGCTAAGAAACTTTCGTGTTTCTTTGAATAATAATCTACCGGCAATCGCGACGGTATAATCTCGATACAGTGCTGAGCTACCCTTATACTACATCAAGGCTTCGGACACTCTGAACTCTATATATTCAACCCCCAAAAAGGATTTTAATACAGTCGTTTTGTCTGTTTTGACCCTCCAGGTGATAGTAATCCTCCAATGTGAAGACAACAAGCAACTTACACAGACGTACAAATCAGCTGCCACTTGCGACTGCTCATTGTGCTCCCACGACTCGTAGTACCCTGTGAAACACCCCAGGTTGATTCGAGATCATTTCGATTGATTTTATTTTTTCATCGTTTGGAAACCTTCTTCAGTCTTCGCTTCTGATCAGATCCAGACATTAAAAACAATGGGGATTAGGGACACAGATTAAGGGGAGAGAGGGTGGATATCATGCGTCCTCTGTTGGCGCTGTTAATTTAGGAACATCGTATCAGGAACCCAAATGTTAAAAAGGTTAATTTGAAAAGAGAAATATTAAGAATTTATCATTGTCATTAATTTTACTTTTTTTGCCTTGCTCTCGACCATGTGGCAGTCTTGTAATGACGGTAAGGCTGCGTCTGAATTACGTGGCTACGGCCAGCAGTGGTTCAGTTGTCTATTGGTAGGTGGATTCAGCTGCCTTGGTGGAAGCATGAGCTATTGCCAGCCCCACCCAAGTAATTCGGAAGAAGCCCAACTCGATTGTCCAACATACCGTTACAGGTCAATATTTTACCAGTGTCATCATTATGCCGTAATGAAGCTTGCCCTACCTAATGACGTTCAACGGCCACAAACTTGAGTGAACAGTGAATCAAATAGTACTCAGCACTGGGTATGCTTTATCAGATTTATTATCTCCGTTGTCTGCACTGAGATGAGTTTCAATATTAATCTTTAAAACATTTTCAACTGAATAAAATATTCCTCGTTATTCATGAAGGTGCCACTCAGAATTGTACTCTTGCCATCACTTATTATATCATTTATATCATGTATAACCCCATGTAAGACATACAATTTCGGGCCTAATCGCGGTGCTGAGTCGCGGCGGGCCTCACCCCGACTCAATTATGGTCTGATTCAGCAAAGGTTAAGCCCGCCGCGATTAAGCACCGCGAACTGGCCCCAAAATTTGCGGACGGGTACCCCGAAGCACACGTATTATTGTTTCTAAAAAAGCAACAAATCCTAGACAAATTAAGAGAAAATGACTCGATTGTTTGAACCACTGCACATTTTCAGTAGACCGTTTTCGCTTTTGGCCGCCAGGCCCATATTTATGCGCATGCGTGCATAATTCTGAATTTATTCGTAAAAATGTCAATCGCAACCAGCAGTGTTGCTTTCTTTGTTCATTTTGTTTTCAATCGCTACGGCCAAAGATCTTAAAAGGATTTTCGCTCTCAAGATTGTTTAACCCTTTATTTGAACCATCTTGTTAAGGCTATAACTGCGCCTTGTTCTTGTGCGGTTTGTTCCATGAGCTGGCTTACGTTATGTAGGTCAAGCTTCGGACATTTCACAACCTTTGGCAAAAATGGGCCAAATTTGTGGTGCATTTCGTTTTCGTTTGATAGATTACGATTTTTTCCCTCATATTTTTTTCCAACTTAACGTTAATGATGTACTGCCCGTACTTTGCAAAAAAAATAGATTTTTTTTTTACCCAACAAATAATATTTTCTATATCATGCGTGTGCACCCCTCTTTTGGGGGGGTTTCTGTAGCGCACAAACAGAATCCTCCCTGTCAGTAGACTGCTGTCCGGCATACCTACATTATCTACCTTGATGGTGTGGCTGGAACCAGTCTAACCTGTGAGAACTGACTTAGTGTCGAGCCGCAAACAACTCGAGACTTATAAATTAATTATTTCAGAACTAAAAGTGGGCCGATATTCCATTCATTTAAAAGTGAATAACTACATGAAGAGAGCAATTAAATTTAAAATAGAAATATGGAATTGTTTTCGGGGTAAAACTCAAAATTAGCACAGACAGTCAATAATTGTTTCTGATTATGACATACAACGCTGCAAGTTTCATGCCAACGCCAGTCCCAGATCGTGGTTTGTTGTACATATAAAATTGTAGAAAGAAATGCATGTCTTTCATCAAGTGTAAGCATCTTCTCCAATTTAGGCTCCTTATGGAGATCTGACCATGACGTCATCACATTCAGAGGTCGTGACAATGAATAAGACTGCGAACTGCTTTTTGACTGGATTGACCTGAAATATACAAATCTAAATAATAAGGCGGCCTGGGCTCAATGTCATGGCCCTGCTAACCACATAATTCCGTGCTTACGATCACCAATTTGTGCTAACCGCGCTAGCAGAAAAGTTCTGTGCTAACCCTGTAAGCACATAATCCTGAGTAACGGGATGTACGCATGCGCAGAAGCCAAAATTCCTGGCGAACCGGTGGAATATGCTTACCGTAAGCACGGAATTTTCTGCTACAGTAAGCAGGGATTTTTCGCTAACAGTAAGCACAGCCATGCAATTGGGCCCTAAATGTTCCCATCTTGTTAAGGTCGGAATGTCAGACCGCTTTAACTTTTTTACATTTCAAGAGAGTTCGTTTAAGAATGGATAGGGTAAATTGTGAAATCAACAAATAACATTAAATTTGGATTAATCTAAAATCATGGATTAGTATAACGCTTCGCCATTTAAAGATGTACATGTTTTGACAAAGCAACCGACGCGGTTTACAATTGTCATAGAAAAAGTCACCATTTGAAAACATTGTTAAAAAGCAAAATCCAATCGTAAAAAAGTAGCTTGAATACTCTTCATACATAAATATAAAATAAATATTTAATCTTCAAACGAACATTTAGGCTGCCCCATTTTTTTGCGCATGACAGTCGACAACAAACATTTTCACTGTTAATTCTTTCATAAAGGCCATAATTAGTTTCGATCGACAGGGGGCGCTATTGCGATGCAACTGCGGATACGAAACAAAATTAATACAAGATCACGCATTTTTGAGTCATTTTTTTCTTCAGATTTTATAACTTGTAATCAGTTGAAAAAAAAAACAACTGTTAAAATGTAATGTTGGATGATTGTAACATATAACGATACGTTAGAGAACTTGAATTTACGTCCGTTTTACCACCAAAAAGCCGTCTGGAAAGCGCCCTCATTAACTGAAATACGTCATCGTTCGGGATTATAAGCTTTAACATTGTCAGCCACTTCATGTCTTGGTTATAGTGTCCATCATTGGCGATCACACCATATCAAAATTGTGCTTTTGTAAAAATTAAAAAATATATATATAATAAATGTATTGTGGTGAGGCAGTGATAAGATCAAAGCGCAACCATTTCTCAAAAACAATTCTGATGTAAAATAAAACTCTTTGGTGTTTTATCTTTCCCAAATGACCGTCTATACTCGCAATTTGTTATAATAAATGTTATCTGTCAAAAGCTCGTGAACCTAAACAGCGCTTCCTTTTTGTCTGGAGTCCAATTGATCAAGTCAATCGACCTAAATATAACGAAACTGTGGAAGTATATTGAGTTGCCCTTTACCTCAGTAGAAACACATATAGGTTCCTTCTTCTTTAAAATGGTGGCATATTTATTGGACATTAAATGAAGGAACAACAAATTCCAAATCAATCAGTTTCTAACAAAATGTAAGTGCTGTTTTATTTAATTTTGTATCGAGCACGAATTTGAGAAAAAACAAATCTGACCATAGACATGACCAGCCGTTTGGCTAATTTGACGTCAACCTTTGCTAACTTAATCACGGATGACTCGTGACGGCGAGTCTTGAAAGATATTTCTTTATGGCCAATATGCAATGGACTCAAATCACGCAAACTGACAATACAGAAAACGGGGAGTCTCAATGATATCAGGTTTCTATATTTTATTACAGCATGTATTTGGCTTCAAAATTAAGATTTACTTGAAGAGGAGTAATAATTACAGTTTGGACTAATCAACATGACACCAAGGGCGGACCGGGGGCGGCAACGGGCCCTTTTTATAAAGTGACGTCGAAAAAAAATAATTAAAACAGCCACTGCGTACACCACCATCTTTTGCTAGAAAACAAAAAGTGGTTAAAGTTATGAGAAATCGCCTCAGATCGCACAACAGAGCATCTAGAATCCAATTTTTGGGGGCTCTTAAGTGGGCGCCGAAACCCAAGCCGAGTGGACCCCATTTTGTGGAAAATATTTTGTTGCCCCCCCCCAAAAAAAAATGTGTTCTGGATCCGCCCTTGCATGACACAGTGAATCATATATGGCCAAGTCCCAGTCCGAAAACAAGATGCGTACTTTGTTTTTCATATTGCGATCTGAAATCAAGATAACTACTTATCTGAATCTGTTTTTTATAATAAAATATTTATCAATATACCTTTAACAAGATCAAAGCGCTTTACAACAAAAAATAAATGAAGAGAACTGAAATGTGTACACATTTCTAAGGGGGATTTGGGAACACAAGTGAGTTTTGAAAGTTTTCTTGAAAATCTGATTTGATGGCGAGCCTCGGATGTGGCGGGAGATTGAGTTCCATGCAATTGATATCGCTTTGTCAACCGAAGTTTTTGTATTTTATTGTCACATGTAACCTGATGTATCATATGAGAACTAAACCTATCCTGACCTGATGGATGAGAGGGGAAAATGGGTATCTAAGGTCGGAGGAAGCTGAACCACGTTGGTATTTAAACAACTGAGAGTTATTTGGAAAGTGTGAGGTAAGTCAATGATAACCGGTGTGGTTGCGTTATGAGATGTGGTATATTATTATTTTTTTTCAGGAATAACAATCCTGAAAGGCGTATGGTTCGTATAAAGATAAACATTGTACACCCAGAAAACCCCAAGCTGTCGCAAACTTCCTGAAAGCGTATTAGAAAAACTGAAATGGGAGTCATCCTGCTTGTTATGGTAATGTGGTACTGACGCCTTCCTGACCCTGTATCTGAGTAGTCAGAATATCTGGGTCTTGAAACCAGACAATAAGCTTTTTGCGAGTTAAATTTGAATAAAATCTGGAACGTTTTAATGCTATGCACGTTTTAACTTCGCATTCTCCCGACCAAAGAGACTGTTACTATGTGACGTGTTGGGGGCAAGCCTTATGCCAGCAACCCCCAGCTCCGGCATGGTCTGGTGTCTTTGTGACATTCTCACTCATTGTGAACATGTATTGATGCTGAGCGTTTCTTATGTAACTATGCAAGAGCTTGCCCCCGAATCATGTGATTAGCAACATTGTCTTTGGTCTGGAGAATTTAATGTTAAATGTGCCAAGCATTCTGAGCAAGTCAGTGCACTAGAGGTTTTTCAAATGTAGATCACAAAGGGTATAGGTCACTTATTACACGATGACAGAATCTTGCTGTCCGTGTCGAAAGAGGGCGATCGTCATCCTGAATGAGCGTGTGCCGATTGAAAAAAAAATAGAAATGTGCACTTTTGTGTTAGTCCTTTGCGGGAGCTAGGCATACAAGATTACAAAGGCTAGGGTTTGGGGTGTCCTTCAGTTTGACTCATGGGGGTTTAAACAAGGTAGGTATAGGTTTGTTTTTTATTGCTTAGGCAGCCCAGAATATGACAGATCTATGTGAGACAAGGGCCCAATTTTACTGTGTTTACTGCCTACGGTCTCCTTGAAATACTCGGAGGAAATCGGTACAGCGATAGCCACCTTTTAGAAATTGATACATTAACAAAGTATATAGGCTTATTTGGTTTACATGAATTGATCCGAATAGAACGATTAGACGCATTTACGTGTTCTTAATTGAGGGATTCACAACAGGCCTACATTGCGCCAACAAAAAAATTGCCTCGAAACAGCCACTTTTGAATTCATGATGAAATATTCTTTATTGTATTATTCCGTCTCGCAATTATTCATCCGACCTACATTATTATGTGCAGTA